CTGCGCCACCAGGGAAGCCTGTGAATTTACTTTTAAACTTCTCTTATACTCAACCTCCATTCATCTTTTTACTTTTCAGAGATAAGAACTTGATTCTACTTGATTCTGCTTGATTCTGCTTATGAAGACTTTTGTCTATCACTAGTAGTGCTAATTAGAACTACTCTCTCCTACTGCTGCTATTAATAAATATTATCGCTGAGAAATAAATCCACAGTTTGAGCAAGCATATAACGTTAAGCATTTAACATTAAGCATTTAACTTTTTATTGTCATATATGTGAAGTTGGAATTTATTTGCTAATCACCTGCAATTTAACAACATATATGCTATTTGGCAAAGGCATAAATAAGCACCATAATGACTGCTGCTGGAGAGATCAACAAGTGGAGATGAGTGGAGGGAGAAATAGGTAAAGAATGGGAAAACAGACTTTTATAGATTTTTTTTTTTAGCATTTGGTTTACCATATTTATTGGGTTAAACAGCTGTTGTACTTATGTTTAGGATGCAATGGTTATATAGGTTGAAAACAATAGTAACTCACTTTTTTTTTTTATGGTACGCGGGCCTCTCACTGTCGTGGCCTCGCCCGTTGTGGAGCACAGGCTCCGGACTCGCAGGCCCAGTGGCCATGGCTCACGATCCCAGCCACTCCGCAGCATGTGGGATCCTCCTGGCCCGGGGCACGAACCTGTGTCCCCTGCATCGGCAGGCGGACCCTCAGCCACTGTGCCACCAGGGAAGCCCGTAACTCACTTTTAATTCTCTCTTTTTGAATATGTTCTATCTTCTACCTGAAATGCCTGTCTCTAACTGAATTTCCATTCAGTCTTAAAGATTCAGCTTATATTTCATCAGCTTATATTTCATCTTTATTACATAGTCTCTCTGCTGTTAAGATTAGTATGCACGTTATAACACATTACATATATTTAAACGAATAAAGTCAAGTAACATATTTAGAATGGTGTTTGACACCCAGTGTTTGCTAAGTGTTAGGCCTTATTACTATTTTATTAAATTGTATTTTTTTGTCATAAGAGTACTACCTCCTTAAGGCCATGAATATGCTATGTCTGGTCCATCCTTGTATTTCTTATGATTGGCAAGTAGGTGATTAATAAATATTTGAATACTTGAGTGTGTGCTTTTTAGCAGGCTCTAAGTAGTAATACAGTAGTAATCCACATTGAGGGGAGGATGTGTGTGTGTGTGTGTGTGTGTGTGTGTGTGTGTGTAACTTTATAAAAACTGCTTGATTGGGATATAGTTTACTTTGCATAAAATTCACACATTTTAAGTATACAATTAAATGATTTTCAGCCAATTTTCAGAGTTGTGCTAATATTACTACATACCAATTTTAAAATATAGCTCATCACGTCACAAAAGATCTATGCCTGATAAATTTTTTTATTCTTTTGCTTTTTTGTGCTATTACCCAAGTATCAGTATTCCTAAGGTAAAAATGACAGGCTGGATGAAATAAAATCGAAGTATTATATCCCTTACCTTTGAATGACTAACTTTAGAATTTTCTTTAAATGTTTTTCTCTAGTAAGACTTACTGAGTCCTTACTGATCTAAACCCTAACTTTTTACTCAAGAAAATTTAAACCATTCAGTTTCATACAGTATATTATTACATCATCATATCTTAATAGTTTCTAAAGTTTTAAAGAAAACAGTATATTATATGCATAAAAAGTGACTTAGAAATTAGCCATAAATTGGAAAGAAAGTACTCTACTTTTCACCCCATTGGAGCAGAGAAAGTAATTAATCCCTAGAACCTAGCACAGTAATGGATACATAGTAATTATTTGTTAATTTTAAAAACTACATACCTATTAAATGGAAATGCCATTTTGTGTTCTGTAAGATTCACTTGTTTGAATTTTTTGACATTTTCTTGTTCCCTTTTGCCTGAGTTTAGAACTTTGAAGCTGTATTACAAGCAAAGAAATATAAAAATCTGGATGATCAGAGCAGCCTGAATTCTACTCTTTATTGGGGGTGGGGGGCTGGAGGCGGGCACCCTCTACAGCCTTTGTTTTTTAGATAGTCTTTGGCCTATAAGTAAGCCTTTGGCTAGTTTGGCAGCCTTTTGGAATTCTGATTGACAGCTTACTGCATCAGTTAAGTCATGCGAATCCAGAACTATTATATTTGTATGTAGTATGTAAAAACCCTGCTCTTTAAGATAAGTTAAGATTTAGAAAAAGAAGCCTTGTGTATCCCTTTCATGAGACCTCAGAGAAATAAAAGTCCTTCTTGATTCGAGATGGGGTTCTGATTTGAAAATGTCTAAATATCTAATACCACTTTTAAGACACTTTGTTTTTTGCAATAAAAAACATGGGTAAATGCTGCCAGGTTGTTGTGTAGGATATCTTTCTATCTTACTATTTCATTCAATCTTCTCTTTACCTTGGAGGTAATAGCTTTCTCTCAAGAGAAGAAAACTCTTTCTTGCTCTGTTGTAAAGAGGTTGTCGGTTCTTTTATTTTGCAAATGTTTCTGTGGATAGTAATAGCCCAAAGCTTATGTCACAGCAACTACAGTGCTAAATTGTTTTGATAAATCCTTTATTAAGAGTTTCAAATTATCAGAAACTAATTTAATAAGTAAGATGTACAAAAATGGGGAAAAATGTGTGTAAATAAATATTTAGGTCAATATATAGCAGTTGTTTAGGATTTATTAATAGTTTGCTTTATTAAGTTAAAGCCCATTCATTGTACATTAATCCTACTTCTTTAGATGGGATTAGAGACTAGACTAGAAATAATCTCTGTCCCTCAAAAGTCTACCTTTTTACTGAACAAATCTTTTAAGTAGTACATTTTGCAGATTTTATTTTCTGTGAGAAACGGGACATAGTTTTATGTTATTGTTTATTTGAGTTATTTATTGTTTTTGTATTGTGATACAGCGAAAGTGCATTGTCTTGATAATAGTACTTTTGCTTTGGAATGAACCATAGGTTCTAAAATTGGCTTGAACTCTATTTGACTTTAAGACTTGTGGGAGACAATATGGCATAGTGGTTAATTGGCTTTGTATGAGACTCTGAATTCTAATCCTGGCTGTCCCACTTCTAGCCATGTAGCCTTGGCCAAGTAGTTTAACTTCTCTAAACCTCAGTTTCCTTACTTGTAAAAATAAAAATATTTCTTCTTACTTCTTAAAGGCTGTAATGATTAAACTATGGTGAATATTGAAACTCTTGTTGTAATACTTGTCTGATTATGTTTATTCATTTTGCAGCCTATCTTATTAGTATTTTTTAATTGTCTTGGTATTTTTATTTTATTTTAATATTATTTATTTAGGCTGCACGGGTCTTAGTTGCGGCATCAGGCTTCTTAGTTGCAGCATGCAGGCTTCTTAGTTGCAGCATGCATGCAGGATCTAGTTCCCTGACCAGGGATCGAACCTGGGCCCCCTGCATTGGGAGCTTGGAGTCCATTTTCTTAGCAGTTGCTGTGTAGTGTATTAGAAAAGGCCTTGAAGAGAGAATTTCCAGTGCATTAGAGGAATAGCAAAGTTAGTGAGGATACAGCAGAATGAATTGAGAGAGTGATGGGAGCTGAGATCTTAGAGGTGGTAACTAGGGAGGGGGTGAGGTGGGAAGACTTAAGCCATTATAATGACTGGGCATTTACTCCAGAGTGGAGAGCCAGTGGATGGTTTTGAAGAGGGGAGTAACATGACCTGATTGACTTTTTAGAAAGGAGTTCTAAAAAGGAGAAAGGAGTTCTTTACTGAGTCCTTATTCCCAGGGAGTCTATGGGTGGAATTCAGGAGGTCCCGGGAACTTAGAAAAAAGTTAATTACATCTTTGTTTTCACTAACTTCTAACTGAAACAGTATTCCCTTCAGTTAATAATGTAGCCAATAAACCTCAGTAGTTATTAAAGTCACCTGTGATTTTTGTCACCACCAATAAAAATCAGATTATTGTTGCAAAATATGTTTCATCTGATATCTTATCCAGTGCAGTGGGCTTTTTCTAGTTGCAGCGAGCGAGGGCTACTCTTCATTGTGGTGGCTTCTCTTGGTGGTGGCTTCTCTTGTTGCGGAGCACAGGCTCTAGGCTCACAGACTTCAGCAGTTGTGGCACGCGGGCTCTAGAATGCAGGTTTAGTAGTTGTGGCACACGGGCTTAGTTTTTCCACGGCATATGGGATCTTCCCAGACCAGGGCTCGAACCCGTGTCCCCTGCATTGTCAGGCGGGTTCTTAACCACTGCACCACCAGGGAAGTCCTCTATGTTAGGTAACTTTAAAATGAGAAAAACACTTTAAAAAACAGAATGGTTACAGTATGTGGTAGAATAATTAATGTGCTTCTTAGGAAGAATGAAATAGATCTGCCTATACCACCATGAAAGATCTTTAAGATCTTTAAATAAATAAACAAAAATAAGGTGAAGACCAGAATAAATAGATAAGTGTGTCAAAATCATAGTAAATCTAACAATGTTTACCTTTAGAGAAAGAAACTATGAATGGGCAGGAAGGCTCTCTCCCATTCCCCCATCCCCCACTTTTTTAAAGCAGTTGCATTTACTAACCTTATACATTTATTAGTTTTTAAATAGGGCGTTCATATGGGGGGTGAGATTACCTTGTATATATATTACTTTTTAAATAGGAAGTTCATATAGAGGGTGAGATTATGGGTTCTTTTATTCTTTGTACCTTTGTGTTTTTAATAATTCTTATGTTACAGTTTAAAATTTTTATGATATATCCAATATTATAGCTCCATTAATAACTTCAGTGATGTTCAGTATTTGAGAATGTGAATATGAAATGAAGATAGGAAATCATCTATATAATATAACCTTTATTATGAGTAAAATATGACTGTATATATACGAATAGAAGAAAAGATAAGGGGATGTACATCAAAATGTTAATATCAGTTTTCTCTGGGTGATGGCATTTGAGGTGATTTTTTAAAAATAATTTTCTTTAATTTCTTGTAGACTATGAGAAGACAACGAAATGAAGTTGTAGTTGAATTAAGGAAGGTGAGCCTGATTAATATTGGGTACTTTCAAGCATAATTCTAACAACCTTACAGCATATAGAGAAATTAGCAAATGTATATTAATCTCAGGTGCTTAATTGGCATTTCTTTTTCTTTTGAAAATGGAAAGATTGACTAAATTTGACAAGCTATTGAAGTTGACAAGGTACAGTCTGTCCACTATCCAAATATAAACACATTATCAAATGATTTTTTCTTCTGTAATTTTAAATGATTTATATAAAATATATGTCATACTAAGTAGTTCTGCTATTTACAGTAGTAATTACTCCATAAAAGGAACTTGGTACTTAAAAATTTCATCAACTTTTCAAGTATTAAAGTAGGTTAGTTGAGAATATAAAGTTTGTCACAAACATTTTTAGTGAAATTCAAGTGGCCCTTCAGTTTTATAAGGTATTGTTGATTTTTGTCTGATTTTGAACTGCCCAACTTTTGCTTTGACTTTGTTTTTAGGTGATAAAGAGAAGCTCCCAGATGATGTATAAAATGGTTTAGTACTTTTAAATAAATATGTATGTTTGGTTCTGGCTTAAACTGTACACTATCTTTTTTAATCAAATTATTTTGTTTTTTAGTTTATTTTTACATTGTTCATGGTTCATTAAAAATGTAATATTTGGGGTTTGGGGCTCAAATTAGTGTTGCTTAAGTGTTTAATTCACAATTTGGTTTAATTTTCTGCATTTGCATTTTACTTTTAAAAGTCACTTCATGTTTTTTTGTGGGCACAGGACTGCCTAACCTTTGTATGAAAGTATTTAGCTTTTTAAAAATCAACTGAATTTTTTTTTTTTTTTAAAGAATAAAAGAGATGAACATCTCTTAAAGAGAAGGAATGTACCACATGAAGATATCTGTGAAGACTCTGACATAGATGGTGATTATAGAGTGGTAAGTAATTGTTATTCTGGTAATTTAAAAATAGCAGTGAAAAATTTTTACATAAATACAGAATTACAAGGTGATTTTTTAACTTAGTTTTCTCTAACTTTTTTCCCAGCAAAATACCTCTCTAGAAGCTATTGTTCAAGTAAGTTGAGTTTACCCCCCTTTTCATTTGTATTTCTTGTACTTAACAACTAATTACTGTGTATCTGCATCAAAAATTGTTTTGTTTTTTATAGAATGCTTCAAGTGATAACCAAGGAATTCAGTTAAGTGCAGTTCAAGCTGCTAGGTAAGTTAAATTTTAAGGACATATTTTGTAACTTATACGGGAGTTCTCTTTTGGGTTTTCACTATATAGTAGTCCTGTTTCTTATATTAACTTTGATGACAAACAATAAAGAACAGTCATAGACCAACTGAATTTATTTTCAAAATTATTCTCTGATTTAGAGTATTAGCAATTTTCTAAACTTGGTAATACATTGAGGCTTTAGTGTGGCTAATAGGTACAAATGCTAGGGAAAAGTTGATTTGACAGGGTATTGCTATAGACTAATAGAAAAACATTATTTATAAAGCTTTTTACCTTTTACTGATTAATAGGTATTTAATTTTATTAAAAGTCAGATTCATCAAATCCTGCTCAGGTAGCTAATTCTTCTCACAGTCCTCATATTGATCAAACAATGAATTGAATTAAAGCTTACTGTAGCAGTGTACAGGGAAGTACACATTAAGATTTAGGGCTACAGAGACTCCCACTTCTCAGTCAATGTAAGAATATTTAGTTATTTTTGTACATTTCTGTTATAAAACCTATGCACTCAAAAAAAAAAAAACCTATGCATTCATATTTTAAGGGAAAACCAAAAAATTATTACTGAGACATTTGTATTAATAAATAGCTTAGGGAAGACATGGTTGTATCATAGTACAATATAGTGGTTTCTTTGTTTTTTTTTAATTATTTATTTTATTTATTTTTGGCTGCATTGGGTCTTCGTTGCTGTGTGTGGGCTTTCTCTAGTTGCGGTGAGCGGGGGCTACTCTTCATTGCAGTGCGCAGGCTTCTCATTGCGGTGGCTTCTCTTGTTGCAGAGCACAGGCTCTAGGGCGCACGGGCTTCAGTAGTTGTGGCACATGGGTTCAGTAGTTGTGGCTCGTGGGCTCTAGAGCGCAGGCTCAGTAGTTGTGGTGCACGGGCTTAGTTGCTCCACAGCATGTGGGATCTTCCTGGACCAGGGCTCGAACCTGTGCCTCCTGCATTGGCAGGCGGATTCTTAACCACTGCACCATCAGGGAAGCCCTTTGTTTTTTTATAAATAAAAGAATAACACCCTATGTTGTAATTGTAGGAAAGAGACACTTAAGCAAGAAATTGATTCTAGTTACAGAATTTTAAAGTGAAAAAAAACTTCACAGTTTTATGTAATATCTTATCCAGTGCATGAGTCCCTTTTATGTTTATTAGACTTTCTTACTTTTGCGTATTCACTTTAAATGGCCTAGAACACATATGGAAATTATAGAATTAAAGTGTTGCCCACCACAGGTAGAAGAACTTCTTAGAGAGGACTTTGCTATGTAGGAAGAAAATCACAGAAGTTTTCACATCTCAGAATGGCAAATTAATGTTAATAGGAAGAATGATTAAGAAATTGATACATTCTGTTCACCATTGTCAGAGTTGATTATAGTATTGGAGCAGCTCTTCTCAACATGAGTTCTGTAAGATAATTAAAGCCCTAAGGCAGGGGATCTCAAAATATAGTGTGTGGATCCCTAGGAGAGCCTGGGATAACTTAAGGAGGTATTATTTTCACAATAATTCTGAGACTTTATTTGCCTTTTTTGTTGTTGTTTTTACTGTGTTAACATTCACATGGATGTTGCAAAAGCAACTGTGGGTAAACTACTAGCACCTTAGCACAGAGCAAGACAGTGTCACCAAACTGATGATACATTGTAGATATTGTATGCGCCACTTTACAAAGAAAGAGGGACATTTCTCTTTAAGAATGTCCTCAGTGAAGTAATAAAAAATAATTTCTTTTATTAAATTTGAAACCTTGATTAAGAAAGACTGGGTTTATTTCCTGTGTTGTGCAAAGAATCGTACCATTTATTACGGAAAATACTGTGAAGAAGCATGTGGAATAATTCTTGCTTTGTAAGAAGTTTAGAACCTAATCGGGAAGGCAAAACAATATTAAAAATAGTGATGCTCAACAGTGAATGTAGCCATATGCCGTGTATATATTCTCGGAATTCAGAGAGGGTATTTTGAAAACATTTAACTTGAAAAGATAAGAGTTTGAATAGGCCAAAAAGAGAGCATTCCAAGTGTGGGGAATAGGATTTGAAGGGCCTAGAAATTAGACTGAAATGGTCGGACAGACAACTGACCTGTTGTTGAATTACAGAGAATAAGATTAGTAGATAAATAAGATGGAGCTAGTTTGTGGAGTGTTATAAAAAACTCAGTCGAGGAGTTTACACTGGTAGGATAGTAAATTAGCAGCCATCACTTGGTTTATATAGGGGAATAATCTGATTAAGCTTGCTTAAACATTGTCTTCATATAGTAGTGCAGGGGATTCAAATGGGTGAAGATTTGTGTTAGGCCACATTTAGGATTTGTCAGCTAAAACTGCAGTCTGCTACATGTGTAAATGGGCACTAGGTATTGTTGTTTTACTCTCTAAGCTCCATGAGAGCAAGGATGTGTCTGTCTTGTTCACCTTAGTATCTCCAGTATCTCTCTGGATATTTTCCTGTGTATTGCTGTGTTTATTTCATTTCCTTTAGTTGTTGAGATGAGAATGTTGTTGAGCTTTTATGACCTTTGATTTGGTATATAGAGTAGGATGAAGAACTGGACACTAGTATCAGCTATAAACTTGTACTAGCATCCTATCTGCTTTTGTCCTAACTTAAAAAAAAGTGGATCATGTCTTACCATTTTTTCCTAATTATTAATAATCTCTGTAAATTTATAAATTAATCTTTTTATAATAGAGAAAAGGTTGCATTATATAAATTTAAAAAGTAGCTTGCATGGAGAGTATTTGTGCCAAATATTCAGTTTATTGTAATATATCAAATGTGAATTTGAATTTAATTATATGTCATTAAGTTCACAAGGGGTATATTTATATCTCATAGGAAGCTTTTGTCCAGTGATCGAAATCCACCAATTGATGACTTAATAAAATCTGGAATATTGCCTATTTTAGTCCATTGTCTTGAAAGAGATGACAAGTAAGTACATTATTTTAAGAAATAATTTAGGATCTATCCTTTGCAGAAGACAAGATTTTCTCATAGTTAGTTTGGTCTTTAAAGAAAAACAAAAAGGGCTATAAGGTGGAGTTGAGAAGCCAAAGTGAAAAACAGTGTAAGGAATGTTTACACCAAGAGAGGAAAGTAAAGACCAAATGGGAACTTGCGAATGATATATTTAACTTTTAAGCTTTGAAAATTGGCAAGAACTAGTTTAGCCAGATAGGTACTTGAGAAATCTGTTTGGGTAGTAATGTGCAGGTATCTTAATAAAGAGTTCTTACTAAAAATAAGGACACCTGAGGAGGTTGTATGCTTTTTATACCGAAGAGATATTTTAAATAGTCATTGGAAGTTTAAAAAAAAGTACTGGGTGCATAGATCTTTTGAATAAAAATATGTAATACTTTTAAAATGCTAGGGGGAGGAGTGGTTGGTGGATATTTGGGCCAATGTAGAAATTCCTG